TCTGTACCTTGCAAACTCTCCCTTCACGCTCTGCCCCTGTGCATGATTCAGGCCTCCCCTTACACATCACTCCTCAGAAACCTGTGTGCCGCTCCAGGGTGAAGGGAGGAGGCTGTGTTGAGGTCGACTAGAACCTACCCCTTTCATAGCATTTCTCACCCTGGCTAGAGATTTACCCCTTAACTTGTCCAGGTCCCCCACTGGATTAGAAGTGCCTTGAGGTCAGGGATCATGTCCTGTTCACTGTAGGATTTCCAGTGCCTAGAATGGTGTTGGGCATGTGGATTGTGTTCAGTAAGTTTGATTAAATGAGTGAATACAGGATTCTTTCATTTTGTGTGTACTGTATCATGAAAACAGCTTTATGGTTGTACACAGCAGGTACCACCATCCTCATTTCAGTCACGGGGATATCGAGCCTTGAGAAGTCCGAGGACCTTGGCTGGGATTGCTGGCAGGGGCAGGAATAGTGCTACATACCTCCCCTGACCTCTGGTTCACAGGCTCCTTCAGCCCATGAGCATTGTCTGTAATCTAAGGACCACGTCTGTTGGTTTTAGACTGAAGGCTTTTTTGGTAATTATTTGCTATTTAGAATATTTACAGCATAGTTTCCATCCATATGCGTTGATAGGTAAGTAATTTTAGAGAGTGAAAAACCTGCAGGGTAGCAGAAGGAGTATCAAAGGAGTTGACGGTGTCTATTTTTATAACTGCCCTTAATGGACTATTCAGACACACTGCCTTTCTGATTTTTTTCATGTTTCCTTGTCACAAGAGCAAATTCTTGCTCTATAATAACATTCCAGAGTACAGCAATAGCGAAAGTCAACATTTTGAATTATATGCCTGGTCCATTACGGACTGCTGGACTTTTTTTTTAGTTTAATATATTATAAAACAAAATTTATTCTCTCTTCACAGCAATTTGGAAGGTACAAATTATTAGCTCAGCAGCATAAAGCTGGCAATTCTTTTGTCCCAAAGTTCTTTTTACCCACACACTGTTGATGTGTTTATTTATTTATATTTAATGCTATTATTTATATATTTTTATTTTTAATCCATTGCAAAACAGGTTATGATAGTATTAATATTATATTGGGAATATGTGTGTGTATATATATTTTAAAGGATTCAGCAGCTAAAGATAACTAAAGTGGATGATTGCCACAGCAATCTCCATTTCAGTCTTTTTCCCCCAAAGTGCTTACCTCTTTGAACAGTAATTTCCCATTTGTTATTTTTCTCATCTGTACTGTCATTTCCTTCAAGGCAGAACCTAGCGTCTTTCACCTTCGAGTCCCTGGGCCTCTCATAGTACCTAGAATTTAATAAACTCTCATTAAGGGCCTATTGAAGGAATATATGACTAAGCAGTCATTTACAATCAGATTGTCAGCAGGCAAATTTAAGCCATTTTTATCAGCATATACAGTCAGTAACGGTAACTTGGTATCTTTTCCAAAATAGTTACTAGTCTGTCTTGTTTCCTATTGCTTCTACAAAGCTTGTTCCAATGTCTGGCAGAAAATAGGTATTTAATAAATTTGTTAAATATCCAAAATTTAAAGTTACATTGACTTATGTTGACCTCTCTCTACTGAACATTATTCTAAGAGATTTTTTTTTCACTGATTCATAGTAAATAAAGCAATGCGGTAGGAATATTGCAGAATACCCCTAATACCTGATCAGTCTCACTGTCATTCATTTTCAAGATTCTGTTCTCTAAATATTGACAGTGGTATTTATATTTAAATATTTAATTATTTACTCCTAAAAAAGCATCTCATCTGGGGAAAAATACTTTGTTTAGTTCTTTACCATAGGGAAGTGTGAATATAATACAGTAAAGTAGATTTCATACTATTACCTTAAAAAATTATTTATTGTATGACGGCTATGACTCTAGAAGAAGAATACTGCATCCTGACCAAAATTTCAGTCCTGTTACTGCAGTACTCTTCACTAATTACTTCCGTTACTGCAGTACTCTCTACTAATTACTTCCATGGGTAACTTGTGAAGGGAAAATCTTACTCACTGTGTTGTGACAGGAGGGTGTTTCAGTGACCAAGCCCATGTCCTTGGGATGTAGTGGGTGCTCACCACGTGCCATACTGTGTGGCAGCCTATTTGTACAAATTATCTTGGCAACCCTCCTAATAATCCTTTCAAACCAATGACATTATTTTCTCCATTTTTACATGTGAGCTAAATGAGACTTACAACAGCACACCTTACATCATCAGCAAATGAGCAATCGTGTGCAGATTCAAAGCCAATTCTGTTTCGTTTCAGACCTCCAATCTTATCCAGTAATTTTCTTGATAGTTAATTTGGCTTTTTAAAAAATCTTATAAAGAGTAAGGCTTATAAAGAGTGGACTGACATCCGTATCAGTGTTAGAGAACCACTAATTTTACAGTTTTTTTGGGGGGGGGTATTTTATAGAATCTTGATAACTCACAGGTGAAGTGATAAGTCTTAGATCACATCCTATAATGGCAGAGCTAAAACCAACACTCATTCATTCATCCTTATGTTTTGATTCTTTCAGCATTCATCAAAACTCTTTTGTTTGGCCACCAACATTCTAGGGGCTCAGTACATATTTGATGAATGAATGAATGAATGACTATATTGAGGCTGACAGTGCTGTGCCCCCAGCATTAGCACTGTACTGGGGGGTACAGCTAAAGAGCATGTCTTTACCCCCAAGAAGCTTAACAAGGAAAGTTGCACAAATACTGCCATCTTTAGGGGGCTGGCTGCCCTGAGGGCTAATCAAGGATATTCTGAAGGATATTCCAGGCCAAACATTGGCACAAATTTGCGAACATCAAGGTGCTTAGGGAACTACACACTGTTAGGGACCGCTGGGAATAAGAGTGGAGAGGGCTCCATTCTGAACACTACGTAGTACCACGTGAGAGAGTTAAAGCAGTGATTCTCAACCTGTGAGTCGTGACCCACAGGAACTGTATTAAAAGGTTGTGGCTTTAGGAAGATTGAGAACCACTGGTTTAGAGTGTATTCCATCAGGAGGAGAACTACCATTGGATTTAAAACAGAGAAATGATATGGTCAAACCTGCATTTTAGGAAGTTCCCTGGGGTATTTGTGTGGTAGATTGACAATTTGACCATTTGGGATTTGTAGGGTGCTGCATAAGGGATGATGATGCCTGGACTAGGGTCACTGTCATGGAATTGGCAAGGATTTAAGAAGTCATTAGAGTATGAGGCTGATTTGTGAATCAGAAGTGGCCATCAATACCCAGAAAATGACTGGGGGGAGACCTGAGAAAGGTGGGGGTGGAGAGGGCTAATATTCAAGGGATGGGAAAAGGGAGAAGTGCCCAGACATAATAGGAAGATATGGTCACAGAGTGTGTGGTTTCGTATAAGCCAAGGAACAGAAGATTTAAGAAAAATAAATTTGTGGTGGGAGGCAGTAGAGACAACAGATGCACAGTAGCTGTTGGAGATTTCCATATGACAAAATGGGCAGATGTTGATAATAACTAAAGAAGGACTGAGAAGCAAGCGAGGGGGGTTGTTTCTGTTTTAAGAAGGGAGAGACCATAGAAGAGTCACAGGCTGAGACAATCAAAAGCAAGAAGTTGAAGACAGAGAGACACAGGTCCTCTAACTCCCTGCCCAGGGTTCTTTTTTTTTTTTGCAGTTTTTGGCCGGGGCCAGGTTTGAACTCGCCACCTTTTTCAGCTACTTGCACCCCTAAGTAGTTTTATGTTTGAGTCTTCAGGAATCATCAATGTAATTTTAATTGTCTAGTTAATGGGTTTACATGCCCTACCATCTGAGAAACCATTTTCAAGTTCCCACAAAGTGATACGACTTTTAAAAAGAACAAGTCAAGGTTGGGAATATCATCTCTAATATACAGTGGCACACAGTTAACTTCTGAACAAAGACAGTGATGTGAGCCATTTCTGCATTTATCTGTGAAAGCATGAGATTCTTTCTTAAGACCATTATGTCATTCTGCCTATATTATAGCTAGGTGGGAGCACATCTTACCTCCCCATACGAAATCCCAGACTCCTCAAGGGCAGGACACCCTCAGCTATCCATCTGTTTAGCTCTCATATACTCAGCAGCACTAGGCAATAAATAAATAAATAAACATTTTTAATGCACATTTATTTGAATAATTGGTAACAGCTAAGACTTCAATGAAATGTCTTATTTTGATAGAATGGTTTCTATATCTCATTTGAATTTTCAAAATTTTTTTCAGTATACAGTTTAAAAAAACAAGCCGTTGACAACCCTCATATTCTACCCTCATATGTGGTCATATCTAAGAGCCTTTAAAACCTCTATAATATTACCATTATTTTAACTTCAGTTCCTTTTAACATCATAGTTTTATCAATGTGTTACAGTCACTTTTTATGAATTCAGGAGATGAGTAATTCTAAAAAGTCCCCAGCGGATATTTTTGTGGTGTCTTTCAGCCTCTGTTCCGACAGGGGAGAGGAGAGCGGGCAGTGGGAAGAAGGTTTTGCCTCCATGCTTTATGCTGCACTCAATCTTCTGCTGTCTATGGAGGGTGCTATAATGGAGGGAATTACTGCCTTCCATACATATTATCTTTTCCAGCATGCATTCAGTCATGTGGTCATTATCATTATTTATGTACCCTGAGCCTGGTGGGAGTCAGGTACCGTTTATCATCTCCTTCATGCCTACTGGGACACCTGGCACATGACAGGCACTTGTTGAATGTTCCCCGAAGTATGAAGTACACAGATGAAACAAGTCATAGACTGAGTGTTAGAACTGCCAGGATTATAAATAGAATTTTGCTCAATCAAATTCAAATAGTAGGAGCTGGGGGAGGGGTGGTAGGAAAATTTAAGCTTTCAGAACTGTTTATTTTTAGAATGTCAACCTCTTGAGTGTTTTTAACTCTTTGGTATTTGAACTCTCTAACCAAAGTATTTTACCTCTCTTTTCTTTTTCCTGCAGGTTGGACTCAGATCCGTGATAGAACAGTTTCCTGGGAAGCTCGATTTTGTCCTTGTGGACGGAGGCTATGTTTTAAGCCATGGCCACAAGCAGCTGATGTGCCTGGCCAGATCTGTTCTCAGTAAGGCAAAGATCTTACTGCTTGATGAACCCAGTGCTCATTTGGATCCAATGTGAGTTTCAGAAATCCCATTACTTAACAGTACAGTGGGAGCAGAATCATTGAAACCCACTGCACGGAGACTGTCATGTCTGCAAGTGGGGGACTCGATATAATTGCCCAGTAGAAATGTCACTATGGGACATGAACCCAAATGCTTATTTCCATGTGTAAGAGCCCTGTGTGCTCTTCTGAGTAAGGCTGGAATTTCACACAAATTCTTTCCCCTTGTCAACACACGATGAAATATTTACATACATGGGCATAATCTGATCCTTAGGATGCTTCCTTACAGCCCATTAACACCATAAGCATATTTCTAAGACAAACTAAAGAACTCCTGGTGATTCTACCTAATGGAAAGTATACTTACTTATGAAATTTTCTTCAAAATATTTGTCTTATTTATTTATGAATATTTAGAATCTACTCCATGGTGAGAGAGTAGAGTAGATTGTGTCTAACCATGTATCATCATTATGTTAAAAGAAAGAAGTGAAGAATTAAATTAATAGAACAATGGGCACGTTATCAAGGGTAAAGCGAGATTATTCATGTTTTCTGTTGTTATGTATGTTTTCTCCTTTCTCTTTTAGAACATACCAGATAATTAGAAGAACTCTAAAACAAGCATTTGCTGACTGCACAGTAATCCTTTGTGAACACAGGATAGAAGCAATGTTGGAATGTCAACGGTTTTTAGTGAGTCTTTGTAAATTTGCTTAAGAACTCCTTTCCCTTGTATTCACTGATAACAATCTCGCATGTGATAGTTCCTTCAAACTGTAGCAGTGTACAAGTTCTTCCTGAAAACACGTGTCATGTAGCCATCTAGCTTTGCTCTAATAGCTGCACAGGTTTCTCATTTTGATTTGAGCTACAAGGTGAAATTAAAATGCCATAAATCTCAAATGGTAGCATATGGCTAAGTTACAGTAACAAATAGGATATCTATACTATTTGAACCCTTTATTTGGGGACGAAGTCACAAAAAATACTGTTTTTTAAAAAGTCCCTCTGTTTTTTTTTCAATATTTCGATAGCTTAATCTCCCTTGGAAAGGGTCCAGGCCAGGCCAGATTGTCTTATCCTCTGATTTATGGTTTTAATGTGCTTTTAATTTTTCTAGTCATTATTTGAAGCTCAGGTTAGTACCTGTCTCAACCACCTAATTGTACTTTCAAAATGGTCAGATTTCTTCAAGTAATGTTTTATAAATTCCCTCTGGTTTAGTCACAAGGAAGTTCTGAGGATGATGTATTGTCATTTCTGAGAAGGCTTTTGAGCCTCCTGGAGGTAAATGCTTTCCTTACTGAAGGATTGTAATTACCACTATCATTACTAAGCTTTAAGCAACAAATTAGGGGACAGACTCATGGCCTCTTGCCGGTAGTTCAGGAAGATGGGTAAACCCCTCTATCCTCTGACTTTGGTTTTGCTCAACCTCAGCATGTAAAAGGCATATTAAACTCAGGCACATCCTGACCAAGTTGGAATTGATAAGCTTGTTGAAGCAGTTCAACTTCTATGGTGCTGTGGACTCATTGTTTAGGTAATATATAAGGAATCTTACATAAATGATTTTTGTTTTCAAAGCACCTCTCAGTTCCTCTAAAGTTCCCTAAAGAAACACATTGTCTGGTACTATACTAATTAAAAAAAAAAAATCTTTCTGCCAGTAAGTAGAAAATTACAGCTAATTTCACAGATGGTAGAACTTCCTTAGAGCAAAAGGATGCAGCAGTCCAATGGGACAGACCCGACTGTGCAAATTGCAGAGCTCTGGACACTGTGCATTCTTTTGGCCTTTATTTTTCCTTTGAACCTATGCCAGTTTCTGTCCCTGCTCTGGTGTGACCTGCCTTCTGTCCCAGATCTCACTAACGACACTTCCCTAGGTCATAGAAGAGAACAAAGTGCGGCAGTACGACTCCATCCAGAAACTGCTGAGCGAGAAGAGCCTCTTCCGACAGGCCATCAGCCCCTCAGACAGGATGAAGCTCTTCCCCCGCCGGAACTCCAGCAAGCACAAGTCGCGATCCCCAATCACTGCCCTGAAAGAGGAGACAGAAGAAGAGGTGCAAGAGACCAGGCTGTAGGGAGCAGCATGAATGTTGCATGGGACATTGGCTGTGGCGTCAGAGAAGGAACAGTAGCCTCTGCCTCAGAAAACAAGGATGAGTGGTGTCTAAAAAGAAAAAACAAGGAAACAATTTGGTAGGAAGAATTGAGGACATTGAGGACGTTCTGATGGGATAAATGGCTTTCTGGCAATGGCTGAGTGAATGTGAAAGGTACTTCAAGTCCTTGAAGATTTACTACTTCTGTTTTGCAAATCAGATTTTCCTGAAAACCCTTGACCTTTGGTCCTAGTTGGAAAGGCAGCTATAAATGTTAATCAGCTTAGTTGTTCAGTTTATTGTTTAGCGAAACTTGTTAATTTGTAGTATCGGAGAACTAAAATCATGCTACATACTACTTAGAGTTATAATTAAAATAATGGTAACTGGGCCCATTAGCATAAACCTTTATATAAATTTATATCCCTTTCCTCTGCTCTCCCAGAGATATTTAGAAACACAGCTATATTTTCTGTTAGACATTCTGACTGTCTTGTTTCCAAGCAAGTATTAGAATCACAAGACAGCCCATCAAAATACGCCACATTCACTATCTAGTGATCAGTCAGGAAAGAGAACCTCTAGGTCCTGGGTCAGGACCATCCAGCTCTAGCAAAAATCTGAATAATTCAGATAATCAGAGTACACCCCTTCCCTGGGAAAGGGGCTGGTACAGTCTCAGAAAGGGAACAGGATAGCTTACTTGATGTGGATGGCGACATGCCTTTCCCCAGCCTCCTGAATGTAACAAGCTCCTAAGACCCCTGACTGGAAGACGGCTGGAAAAGTGTTACTGCAGATTGGTGCAGGTAACCCTTGGTACCACAGACGCCCCCAGTAGATGCACTTGAAACCCAAGCATCTGGCACCGGGCGGTGGCAGTGGTGTGTTTTGAGGCTGGCTAGTCGTGCTTCATACTGTCTACGCTGTGTGGGGAGAGGATGGGAGACACCCTGACGAGAGTCGATCATGAATTAGTTTTATATGCTTCTGTTGTATAATTTTGTAATGCAAAATAATTTTCTCTAGGAAATATTTATTTTAACAATGTTTCAAACTCATATGAAAATTCTGTATTTTAAGAATGATTATATTATGAATTATATTTGTATAAAAGAATTTTTATATTTGAAAAGTTGACTTTTTATGGTACTACCTATTTTTATGATATACATTGTATGATGTTAAAACTGGGGGGGGGGGGTTAAAGAACCTAGGGTGATACTGATCAGGAGCCATGAATCACCTTTGTGCTGTAGAGAAGCGCTGGGGCTGATGAAGATGTTGGGCACAGCTGTATGAGTCCTGGCCAGCCCATAGGTTTCCTCTTAGATGCCATTCTGAAGAAGATGGCACCACAAGTCTCACGGCTCCCCTGGAGGACACACTGCCTTCCCAACGCCAAACTTAACCCCTAAAAAGATTGCATTATATTTATTACTGTAAGAAAATATCACATCAATAAAATCCATAGATTTGTTTGAAACAGCTGTTTCAGATCTGTTAATTAGTCATTTCTCTTCAATCTCTTACCTCACTATCTAAGCTTCATGGAACACAAAACTTGAATCTTTCAGATGTTGCCTCTTTGAGAATCCCACATGAATTAGAGCACACATTTTAAAATTATCTCTTTTAGCTGTGGTAAAAAGTATATATTTAACATAAAATTTAGCATTTTAAGTATAGTTCAGTGGTGTGATATAATTCATATTGTGCAACCATCACCACCATCCACTGACAGAAATGTTTTTCATCTTGCAAAATGAAAATTCTTTAAGTGTTAGACAGTTACTCCCCATTGCCCGCCAATCCCTACCAACCACCGTTCAATATTCTGTCTTTATGATTTTCACCATTCCGAGGACACAGCAGGAGAAGAATCATACGGTATTTATCATTTTGTGATTAGTTCCCTTCACTGAGCGTACTGTCTTTAAGGCTCATCTCAACCTTTTCCTCCTTTTTAAGGCTTAATGATATTCATTATCCACAAGGGCTATGTTCCAAGACTCTCCCGGTGGATGACGGAAACCTCAGTTACTACTGAATCCTGTGTATATACTCTGTGTCTTTTCTACACATACATATCAACAATAATGTTGAATTTGTAAGTTAGGCACAGTAAAAGGTTGATAATAATAACTAGTAAAATAATCGATGATAATAATATACTGTAATGAAAGATGTGTGAATGTGATTTCTCTCTCAAACTATCTTACTGTGCTGTACCACAGATAACTGAAACTGCAGAAAGCAGAACTGGGGATGAGGGGGACTAGTGTAAGAAACTTACCACATTTTGCTTGCCCATTCATCTGTTGATGGACACAGGTTGTTCCCACACTTTGAACATGGTGAATAATGCTTCCGTGAATATGGGCATTCAGATAACTCTTCATGTCCCTCCTTTCATGACTTAGAGCACTTTGAAGTTATTTTTGTTTTAAAATAAAGTTGTAGAACACTCTGCATATATATATCTTTTTTACTGCAAGTGTCCATGTGTTTTTTGAAAGCTTATTCAAATAGTGGTAGGTATTTGATAGTTCTTAATAAGTTAAAAAATACTCCTCAAGGAAAATACTATTTCTCCACCAAACCCTGGCTGCTTTTCCTTGTCCAAACCTCTGTTTTTAATCGGGAAGGCTTCTTTGGTTCTTTTATCGTGTGGAGCTTCATGAACAATGCAGCTGCTGGTAGGCGGTGGGCAGATAGTAGATCCCTACTGAATTCCAGACACTCCAAGCCCTGTGTTCTCTTGCTTTGAGAGGCTTGTTGTCGCACATGGCCCCAAAGGACAATCTCGGAGCATACTTTATTCTTTTTTTCCTTCATGTCAGATGGGTAACGTGCCGATGTTGTAACAAGATTTGCGGGAGTCACATTTCACTCGTGCGCATGAAAACCCAATCATCAGGGCATACGTTATTCTAATTCTTCTTCTTTTTTAATTTCTAAAAGCTAAGCAAAATGTACAGAAAATTCTCATATATCCCGTGTCTCTACACATGCATAGCCTCCCCTGCTATCCGCACTTCATCAGAGTGGTACCTCATAACCAATGAACCTACACTGACGCATCATTACCCACCAAAGACAGTAGTTTACAGTAGGGTTTATTCTTGGTGGTGTACTTTTTATGGGTTTTCATAAATATATACCAACAGTGTGTCCATTATTACAGAGCCACACAGAGTAGTCTCACTGCCCTAAAAATATGCCACCCTCTGCCTGTTCACCCTCCTCCTCCTCTAACTTTTGACAACCACAGATCTTACTACTTTCCCCATAGTTTTGCCTTTTCTACAATATATTTCGTTGGGATCTTGCTATATAGGGCCTTTTTAGATTGGCTTCCTTCACTGGTAATATGCTTTTAAAGTTCCTTCATGCCTTTGCATGGCTTCACAACTCATTAGTTTTAGTGCTGAATAAAATCCATTGTCTGGATGTCCCATAGTTTATCTACTCACCTACTGAAGGACATCTTGGTTGCTTCAACATTTTGGCACTTTTGAATAAAGCTGCTAAAACATCTATGTGTATGTTTTTGTGTGAATAGAGTTTGCATCTCCCTGATGACATATGATGGGGGCATCTTTTCATAGGCTTACTTGCCAACTATGTGTCTTCCTTGGTGAGATTTCTGTTAAGGCCTTGTGCCGGCTTTTAATCAGGTTGGTTGGTTTGTTTCTGATTGTTGAGTTTTAAGAGTTATTTCCTGGACTTTTTTCTTATGGTTAGTATTAGCTTGGTATAACTTTATACCTTTAATAATATGTACAGGGCTTTCAACTTAAGTGTATTTCATACTTTCATACCTATATAGTTAAGTCTTGCTTTTTGATCCACTCTTAAAATTGTCTTTTATTTGGTCCGTCTCCATCAACATGTAAAGTGATTACTGCTATAGTTAGGTTACTATTTACCACGTTTGTTCCTGTTTTCTGTTTGCTGCTCGTGTTCTTTGTTTCTGTTTGTATTTCCCAGTCTTTTTCTGCCTTGTGAAGTTTTCTTGAGCATTTTATACAATTCCTTTTTAGCTCCTTTTTTTTTTTTTTTACCTTTTTCAGCGTCTGCCCTAGAGTTTGCAGTAAACACTTACAAGTAATTCACGTCTCTGTTCGATTTCACAGGTAGTACAGTACCTTGAAGTAACAAAATACTTCTCATTCCTCCCTCCTGTCCCTTTCATCCTTGTGGTTATTTGCTTCATTTATATATAAGCTGATATACACACCTCATATCAGATTTTCTTTCCTCTTCTCTTCCATTTTTAAAACTAAACCATTTTAGCCACAGACTTATACTTTTTAACTCTTTGTTTTCCACATTCAAGTCCTCAGACTTGGGCTTTACTCGACTGACTGCGCCCACTTCCATTCAGCACACACCTTATTAGCTCTTTCTCTTTGTTTATCCTAATTATGGGGAAGAAAGCAAAAGCTTAGAACAAATACATTTCCTTCCAGTAACCAGGGGCCTTCCAGAGTTGGGAAATTGCTACCTATTAGAATGAAATGTTAATATATATCCAAAGTAAATATTTTAGTAGTTTGCTAAAGAAAGAACCTCAAATACTGTGTGGAAGACAATTTAGAATGAGGTTCAAAGAGCTCAGTACAAAAACCTGTTTGACCTGTTAAAACAGGTGTGTACAATCCCAATTCTTTATTAAAAGACACAGCAAAAAAAAAAAAAAAACCCTATAAATGCAAGACAAATACATTAGGGCAGGAGATGTCCAAATCAATAACTTAGAAAATGTAAGCTGCTCCCAGTGTGTCAGTCGTAAGGTCCACGTCACTGTCCGTTGACTGGGGACAGTGTTGCTCCTTGTGATACATCCTAAGAGAAGGACAATTTCTTGGCAAGATTTGGGGGTTTAAAAGTTAATTTTTGTAAGGCGGATATTCATTTGCTATTTAATAACTTGGCGTTTCTAGTTGTAAAATAGTATAGTACATTCTAAAAGG